GTAAGATTTATCCCTATAAATACACTTGTGCTGTAGCATTTTAGTTTAAGGTTATTCTTTGGAGCTTTAAATCCAAATAATCAGGGCCGGAACACCAAGCTCATATCTGATGGATAGCCTGCCATTCTCATTCATATTTGCTGATTCTTTTTGTTGTTCTTCAGTAATCTAAATATCTTGATGATGTAACATAACGAAGGACTAATTCTTGCAGTTTTGATGAGGAAATATTGCACATATCTGGATCTCTAGTTCCATCTCACACAGGGAGCATCCATTGCTTGGAGAAAAATTCAGTTGAAGGTTCAGTAACTAATAGGTAAATGGTAGATGCTGAATTCCGGGAGATTTTGACCTCAAATTAATCCCAAAATCTAATGATGTTTCTGATTCTTGTGACTAAATTTTGTAGGAGTAGAAAGAAGATGAGAGATAACGACAGAGAATCATTGTTGCAAGATAGTGTTGCCACTGATGTAAATGCACTTCTCTTGAACAATGACCATCAATCTAAAACCAAAAAACAAAAAAACTAGCAGAATATCTTGAAGACTGCTAATTGTCATACAACATAGATCGTATTTGTATCAGGTAATTTTTTCTATCTCAGTATGACAGACAATTAATCGCTTGCTCTTATTCCATGCCTAAAAGAAGCTACATTAGCCAGAAATTTACCTGAAGAGCATATTTGAATTCGATTGCATTTAGGGTGATGATGATTCAAATCAGAGATCCTCCTTGTTTTCCTATTGCAAGATATGCTTGGGAAAGAGATGCACCTTTCACTTGGAAACATCTGACGTGACACATCACATTATATCATATCAGGGTGTAGATAAATGCAGTTTCCCATCTTTGTAATTGTCTTCGAAGTAGCCCAAATCCTTGTTTTATGGGCTTAGCTCTAGTAGACATTAGTGAGCAAATGATTTTTGTTTTGTCCCCAATGTGCATTAGGTAAGGATAGGGGGAGGACAGATGTTATCAACCTAGACTTCCCTAAAAAACTGTGAGATTTTGATATTATATTTCTTAGTTTCATTCAGAATCACACACGCCACACAAAACAACACTACAGCCAGACCGTTTGTTTGTCAATCATTATAATGAGGATATGATTTGGGTTTTGCAAGTACATTCTATTTGCACCGTTGACTCATATGATTGCCACTATATCACTCATCTCCATTATGGGATTTTTATATATATAAAGCTGCAAATATAATTCATCGTTATAAGGTATGGGGTGCCCTGTCCAATCCAACCCGCTGCTAATGGTATGAATCAGAAGAAGGGAATCGAGTCTCAGAAATGGGTGAACCGGGTTCAACTCCCATGTGAATGTGTGATCTATGTTTGTAGTTTAATTGTATAGATCTAAAGACAGCCATATGACAGTTTTTTTCTTTTTTTTTTCTCTCTCTTTTTTTGGGGATGAGAACCGGATTTGTAGCATGGTATTATGAAAACTATGAACTAGGAAGCACAAAAACCCTTGAATCCAATCAAGCTTCAGTTCAAAAAATTAGTGTCTTTTCCTCTTTACATCGTTTAATGTTACATTTGACCGCCTGTGGAGGTGGAATCTGTGTTCGGATTTCAGAATTTTGACCCCTGCTCTGCTCTGATGTCTCTTTCTAGGATCTTCAAAGTGAAGATATATTAATAAATTCAATTCCATAAATGATTGAACAGAAGTTGTGCACGTTCTTAAATGAGATTTCTCATTTATGGAACCTACAAAGTGAGTCTCAACTTTCGATATTATTCAATGCCTGATTTCATAATGCTAGAAGCAATAAAAAAATCACCTGAACTGGAAGTCGTATAGCATAAAAGCTTAAATGATTGAAATGGGGCTTAAGAAGACTAAGTCTTATTGAAAGATATTATGAGGTCGGTTATGGAAATCTTATAGTTGGTGCCCTTCTTTCTATACTGGCTGGCTGGGTTCTATTTGAGTGGCTAATTATAAAGTTGAATAAACTCCAAGCATCCAAATCTAATGGACTACCTTCCCAATCATTATCAATCATATGATGCCCTTTCAAAAGCTAATGATATGGTTGCTAAAATAATTATGGAATTGACTGAATCCACAACCAACCCCAATCTTCATTCCTGGGTGATTTCTGTAAGTCCATGATTGAAAAAGATATATGCATACATGGAGCAGTGTTTGGCAATCTTGATAATCAAGTTTGAGCTTTGATTCATAAGACAAGTGGCGAACAGAGAGAGATAGAAGGATGATGAGGTGTGGCATAACAGGTAGCGATGCCGGCCACATAACGTGGTGTAGTTTATTTTAACAAATTTGTAGCTGCTTGTCGTATTACCTTGAAGAAGAAGCTAAAAGTACTCCAAATGAAAGGGAACAAGGGTGGATGATTGGGTGAAATGGGGCGGCGTATTCTGGATGGAAGGCTCGAAATTCGGAACCATCCATTCATGTTATGGCCTCTCTCTGCAACTGCGGATTCCTTGGAAATCACCAACTCGCAATTTGCCATATGCGCTGACAGATCAAAGTAGTCGTAGAAACAGAGATGCACACATTTATTATCTCTACTTGGGTTAAAGATATATATATATAGTTATGGTTTACTATCAAATTTGACTATAATATATTATATTTACCTTTCTATTTATAATACTCTATGAAGATAAACTGTCCAGACGATCTGAGGCCCTTAGCCGCTGAAGTTAAAATGAAAATATTTAAAAAGAAAAAAACCGCACGTAAATGGAAGGAAAACGACAGGGTTTTGATGTATTATAATGCATGTGCCAGCCTAGGGGAATATTACAGTGAGGTGGGAATATTTAAATATATAATAATAAATATAAAATGATGGTATTGGTAGTGGATGAAAAAGGGTTGATTAGATGCCTTTACGACAACAACCAAACCAATTCTACTCTCAACTCTATAACTACGTACACCCAAACGACGTGTCGGAATATTTATTTTTATTTTTATTTACTTACCTTTTATTCCAATAATCTCAGCTACAACACCTGATGACGTAATATATATATATATATATTTTTTTTTTTTGTGCCTTAAAACTTTTCAATTTCGTTGCCACGTCATATATATATATTTATTTATTTATAGATATATCTGTCATTATCACCAAGAAGTGGGCCGTAATCCGTATACGGAGGAGATGCCGCAAAACTACGGTCATTCTCATATTTATTATTCCATTTACTAAGTCCAAACAAATTAATGATAATTATTGGTTAAATTTCACATCATTCTATTAAATCAACTCCAAATTCAATAACTTTAATTTATAAAAATTTGATTCGAATCTCAAATTCAAATTACATTGTTTGGACCCATAAGAAAGAGGTCCCATTTATAGACACTACACATGAAACATATTGTGTATTGTGATAGCTACTCATCTGTTCACGTCCTTATAATAACATCACTTTCGCAGTCAAATGAGACATCGATCGAATTTGTGTGCTCAAAACAGAAACTAAATTTGGATGAATCTTAATTTATTCATATGAAAAGTTGGGTAAAAAAGGTAATTATGATTTAGGTTATATATTTGGAAATTTGTTTAATATCAAAACAAAATGAAATTAAATATTAATAAGAATATAGATAAAGTTTATTAAAAAAAGAAAAAAAAAATCTTATCCAGAGAGAGAGAGAATAATAATATTCTTAGGAAAAGTAAGTTATTTTAATGACTTAATTATTGATTAAATGAAGAAATGATTGGGGAATGCTACAAAAAAGATGATAAATAAAAATGAATAATTAAAATGTTACTCTTCCTTAAATCTTGCAAATATTCTCCAAAATCTTAATCTCAGCATCAATGTCGTAATAAGAACAGAAATAAAGATCATAAAATTTGTTACAACAACAAAATTTAAAATAAGGAGTGAAAAATCTTAATTTTTATGATTTTATTTTCTGGGGGGGGGGGGGGGGGATGCACCGTGGGGGAATGGGAAGCTGAATGAACGTGGGTGTGGGGCCACCACTTTTTGACATCTACTGACCTTCTTAGTTTCCATCTTATATAAGCAGAATTGTGGAATTTATTCAAATGGGTAGGGGCTAAATGGGTATTTACTTTGAGATGGGGCATAGCTGCACATGGGGAGTGTCAGAAATTAGGAGAGTACTAAATTATTTAATTGCTTTTTTGACCAATAAAATATTATATCACCATCGCTTTATTTGTTTATTTGGAAATTAAAAAGAAATATTCATAAGGACAACCCCAAACCCAGCCAACCACTTCTCTATAAATCAATGAATAATGAAGCCTTTATTTTCTTGTTTAAAAACTCCTTTATTTGGAATCTAAAGAAAATGACGAAGAAAAGATGTGACTAAAAACGAAGGGAGGAAGGCATGTGGTAGGTTTCAATAATAACCATTTTCACTTCGTGCGCCCAAACCAAAACAAAAATGCACGCACATTTCACAAAACTCTTTCACCGTTTCATTCCCCAACCACCTCTCACTTCAAAGAAAAAATTCAATCAACTCGATATTATTAGGTCACAAAAGATACATCAAATGTCGGAGATATAAATCCGGTTATGAGTCGATCAAATAAGTATACCAATACCTTATTAGACCTGAAATTATTAAATAGGGCATATTATTCCAAAATGAATTTATAATTTGCTTAAAATGGGGAAATTTCCAAAAATATATCTTATTTTATTTAAAATTATTTACTGCGAAGAGTGCCCAAAATTGATGTTTTTTTTTTTTTTTTTCCGAATATTTTCACTTGGTCCGTTATTTATTTATGTATGGAATATACACGACGAGGAGGCTCAACTCGACACAAAAAAATACGTACTACGTATAAATAAATAAATAAATATATATATGTGTGTGTGTGTGTGGGGCCGGAGTAATTAAAAAAGAAAAGCGGGGGTATTTTTGTCAAGCGGATGTCTATATAAACTTCCGCCATCGCCATTTCCAAGACTCCCCGACTCCCAAACACATCCTACAAATCTTACCTTCAACTTCAACGTGCACTTCCATTTCTCTCCGATCAAGAAATGACGGCTGGACTCGGAAAATGCAGCAAAATCCGGCACATTGTCAGGCTCCGACAAATGCTCCGACGGTGGCGCAACAAGGCACGAATGTCCGCCAATCGTATCCCCTCAGACGTACCCGCCGGACACGTGGCCGTCTGCGTTGGAACGAGCTGTCGACGGTTCGTCGTCCGGGCAACTTACTTGAACCACCCGGTTTTCAAGAAGCTTTTAGTCGAAGCAGAAGAGGAATTCGGGTTTAGCAATTCAGGCCCCTTGGCAATCCCTTGCGACGAATCGGTTTTCGAAGAAGTGATCCGGTTCATCTCTAGATCCGAGCCACCCAACTCGGGGCGGTTCGTGAAATTGGACGATTATCAGAGTTACTGCCACATCGGAATCAGAAGCAGAGTCGATATGTGGCCGGAATCTCGGCCTTTGCTTCATGGATTGGCCGAGAAATCCATCTGGTAAAAAAAATCCGTCTGAATCAAATATAATGTGAGGTTTTTTTTTTTCCATTTTTTGCCCCCACATCCCACTTGCCACATAAACGTAGCAAGAGGATTAAGGAGGGGTTTTCCGGAAGAACAAAAAGAAAAACAGTGTAATGTAATAATTTGAGCTCCGGAGAAGGGCTGTGGAGATGGCAAAACTGGCGGAGACATGATTCCACCGTCGTCGTCCCGAACCCAAATCGGAACAAGGAAGAACAACGACAGCAAATATTGGTTATTCAGGGAGAGGGAGGGCTACTTTTGTAAATTAATTGATTTATTTGAACAAATTATCCAATGCCAAATTTGAAATTCCAGTTTCTCTCTACTGGTCAATTATAGTTAATATTTATTTACTTATGTTTAAAATTTGGGTATTCAGTTCTTATTACACGACATGTCCTTGTCTCATACTATAATCTCCTGTCCTGTAATGTTTTCAGGCCTACCTTCCCCTAATTAACTCCCAATTTTTATTTGCTAAAACATTATTCATATATAAACAAGCATCTGGGTTCCATTTAAAAATTAATAATGAAGAAGAAGAAATGTAAAACAAAATAGAAGGAATCTTAGTATAAAATAAAATAAACATGATGGCGTGATGTCCATAATTAATCTCGAGTAGGTTATCGCAACCCCGTATTACTGTTTGGTACCATAATTATGTACTATCCACTAACCACCCTAAATAAAACAAAATGCATAATTTATGGGGAGCCTCATAATTGGGCCCCATTTAAATGGGCCGTACCATTAATGGGCCGTGCCATTTTGTTTGTGAGAACCTTATATGGGAGCCCACATAAAGCCTCAACAAAATAATAAAAAGCCCATGAAAACCCAATGGCCCAGTTCACTCAAGTTTGGGTTTTTTCTTGTGTAAAGCCTAGCCGAAGACAGAAACACAATTCCTCCAAAAGAACAAAAAAAAGGCAATTTTTACCCACCGACAAACTCTTTTTTTTTTTTTTTTTAATTTTATAATTCGATTTCAACCTTATTGGAATATATAATATTATTCACTTTAGTCCGTTATTTTAAAAATAAAAATAATAATACCGAGATCTCTTATAGGAAAAGAGAGACGAAAAAAAGTGGAATGGGATTAAAGAAGTTCCAATTTCCAAAGGCAAACAAATGGAATCCAATGATAATATTACAAATAAAAGAAAGGAAAAAAAAAAAAAACATTGGATGGAAAGAGCATTTGTTTGTGGGGCAAAAATGGATTGTGGATTCAAGCTGTCTCAAGTAAACGCGTGGGTCCCTCAAATCCTATAATTTCATAGATATAAAACCCATTAAATGAAAATTTCTTACTTACTTCTGAATAAAGTAAAGCCCTTCATTAAAAAAATAAAAAGAAAAAAGAACAATAATTTAATGTGTATTAAAATAAAGAACAATAAGTTTTTGGGTTCCAAAACTCACTCATGTCTCTCACTTATCCTTAAAGCAATGCCAATTCATTCTTAGGTTTCAAGTCACAAGCTTAATATATTCTATTACTTTTCAAACCCCCTTTTATATTTTCCTAATAATATTATTTACGAAGCACGTCTTTTCATACCATATTACATATATATATATATATATATATATTTATTACATGTGCCGCCAACTTACTCTTTTTCTTCACTCCCTTAATTATTCCATAACTATTATTGAATAATACCCTTTGCGATTAAGCTTTTGCCTAATTTTACAGCCATACTTATCATCTCTACATTAACTAATTTTAATCTCTTGAACTACATTTTATGGACCACCTTAGTTACCTAATTAATTCTTATATCTATCCTAAAATAGTAATTTCCATGATGTTTTTTAAATGGTAAAAAGAAAGTTGGTGTTTTTTTTAATTGCATGACCAAAATAAAGTAGTTTTGCTTTTGCTCATATTGTGGATAGGTGACAAGGGGAGTTGACCTTGGGTACTGAATGTCTTGTTTTTTCATTTCATTTTCCCTCATTTTTCAATTATCATTAGTAAACAATAATTTGCCCTAACCTCTCTACCGCAAATACCCTTCGTAGCTTTGAAATTCTTTCCAACCCTAATCAACCATCATTCAAATTCTCAAAATTATTTAATAAGTAGTTTTTATGTCAATTTATCACGCGTATAGGCATTGACTTAATTAACAATTCCAACTCTTTATAAAAGACTTGAGGTTTAAATAATTAAGCGTTCACAACCACTCAAAGTAGACCCTGTTCATTTAACGTAAGCTAGGGTGGATTTTTGTAGCAAGTTTTATATTTAAGCGTCACTCACCAACCAACTTATATATTATATATTAATTAATTAAAGAGGAAAGTTTTAAGTCCAATTTTCGAGCTTATCTCGAAAGTTTTTAAATCGCACTACCTAAAAAGAGTGAATGCTTCGTTTTTCTCCCCCACTAATATAATAAGAAAGCGAGAAACAGTGATGAGATTGTTAGTTAGATATGTTTTTATGTGATTGTTATGTTAAGGTAGTTGAAATGAGAGAGGCAAGATGAGCTGGTGACAAGAATAGAACAGACAGCATCAAGTGGGGAATATATTATATTATATGAATTGAGAGTTTAGTTTTTGTTAGTGAGTTAATGAATGAAATTAAGTTAATTAATCCTCCATTATTGGGTTTTGGTGGTTGGATTGGTTTGTTGCTTCATTTGGGTACTACAGTGTTGGTGCTATCTTTTCAATTGCTTTTCTCATTGGATGGTGATGTAGCGAGAGGTTAAACGGTGCGTTTAGAAGCGTTGGTGAGGGGATGCCGACGCCGTCAACTTCGATTAATAAAACGGCAAAGCAAGCTCATCTGGGGTTTCACAAAATGCACACGTGGCAAATCTCTTACCCATTTGGTCCAGGTAAATTAGAGAGAGAGAGAGAGAGAGAGACAATGTGGTCCCCACACCCCCCATAAGAAATAATAACACCTTATATAAAATAAAAATAAAATCTCCTAATCTTTTAGTAGTTAAATGAACAACAACCATCGAGTTCTCGAGGTTGTTATAGGCCGAGTTGTCCATTCAAACTGACCATGTTCTATTTAGTTCCCATCATTCATAAATCACATTCACCTCCTCCGACAACACATTTATTACTCTCTTTCACACACACATATTTATCAATTTTACCTAAATACCTTATCAAAATTGCTACCCCTAAGCTAATAATAAATAAAAGATAAAAAATGAATTGTGAAGTGGAGGGTTTATAATTGATAGATTGAAGGAAATATAATAATAAATAGAGGTAAGGAATAGTCATGTTGTGCAAACGAAGCAGATGTCTTGATTGTCGAGTCCCTTCAATCCACACTGCGTCACCAAACAGTGGCTAAGGCGCCGCCGTATTCATCTGGAAAAAAATGACGGTTCCAATCCAAGCCGTCACCAGGTGATGAACATATTATTAGACTAAAATTTTTAAAAAGTTTCATGAAATTGAATCTCGATTCAGCCCCCCAATAAATCGGATGTTTGACCAAATTAAGTAAAATCAATCTGGGGTTCATAAAAACTGGGAAAACGACAGAGCTTTTACGTTGTCTTGGATTCCCTGTGGATCCCCTTCCCAAATTTCTGACTCTGTTCTCGGTTTTCAAACGTTTAATTTAGTTGAACTATATTTAAGTTGATGAAAGTTTTGTTTTGTTTAAAGAAGGGTAAGAAGTGAAGTGGCCTGGAGTGAAAGAGAAGCAAAAGAAAGAAGAAGTAACTACATGGCACCAAATGTGTATACAGAAAAGGAAAGAGGTTGAGTTGTGGGCTTGTGGGTATGAATTATATACATATATAGATATAGATATGGATTCCTTGCTTCAAACGCTGTCATTTCCACTGCCCATTGGGGCCTCAAACAACACCAAAGAGCGACGACGACGACGACGACCAAGAAGCAGAATCAGAAGAAGAAGAGGCACGTGGGCGATAAGGTGGAGTGCAACGCAAGTTCTTCCAAACATTCAATTGCGTCTCTCACAAGTTCATCCCTTTCCCCACTTTTTTATTTTATGAGCTGTTTAGAACAATGCATCTCCATTTCCCAAAGACTGAGTCCAGCAGTTTGGCAAATAAAATGAAATTGATTTTTGTGGCAGCTATTAAAAGCTTCCCAATGTCTTAACAAAAATGACAATTAGTACAACCCAAGGAGCCAACACGTGAACCTCTAATTTTATAAATTATTTATTCACATGAAAAATATAATTTTCAACAATAAGAATGTAAAAAAGAAACAACTAACCGTGACTAAATCATGTTGGAATATCATTACAAATCAAATCAAATCAAATCATGTCAACTTTGAGTGTGCTTTATGTGTCTAATTCATTAATTAAACCATCAACTATTTCTAATATACTTAATTGGTTATTAATGTCACATAATTTCAACTCTCAACCATGATACAATCTTGACGGAAAAATAAAGTTACTTAATTACAAAGAATTGCATTAAATATTTTAAAACATTATATGTAAAATTCGGAAATTGCCATAACACAAGAAAATACTTTTATTGTTTTTTATTAGTTTAAGTTAAATAAGAAATAATAATAAAAAAAAATTAACAGTAAATATGGACAAGGATTAAATTTAAAAAAATTTGCACAATTATCACCCCCTCCTCAAATTCCAAATCCAGTTATGGAAAAAAAAACATTAATTTTCCCCCTAATCTCTTTCTTTATATAAATTAAGTTGCTTAATCAACCCACATTAATCATTACAACTATGCAAAACGCAGGAGGGCGTTAATTAATATTCTGGATTAGATGCATAATATACGATACACATTACGGTTCCCACAGCTTTTAATCACAGCCGTACATAAGTTAAGAAGAGATCGAAGAGCACAAATTTCATGTTTTCCAGTGGGCCATCCGCACCAAGGGGAACAAATTACGGTTGGGGGTTGACTGGACGGCTGTGATGGTGGGGCTCAGGGTAAAAGCGGCGTAGCTGATTGTAGCCAAAAGAAATGAGCTGTAGAGAGAGAGAGAGAGTGACGGTGGTCCATAGTGGCAGCGTAATGTAAATACTAACATTAGCTCAGCTAAACTATCGGATACAGCTCAGCTTAGCTTCTTCAGCAAAACAGGCNGGGGGGGGAGGGACTTTTCCGTCATTATGCTTTGTTTCGTGGGCAAATTCGTCTTAACAGAAGCCCCTGCTTTTTTTTTATCTTTCTTTTCCTCTTGACTCTCATTATATATAATTAAAAATTCGGATAAAATAATATTGATTTATTTCATATAAAAAGTAAATTATAATTTCAAATTAAGTAGAGAAAAAAATTTAAAAAGGAGATGGTTTTGGAGCTTTTCCAACGTCCTAGCTTTTTTTTAGTG